ACAGTATTGTAGTAGTTTTTGCCATACATGGACATGAATCAGCCATAGATTTACATGTGTTCCCCTTCCAGATCTCCCCTCCTGCCTCCCTCCCCATCCCATCCCTCTGGGTCTTCCCAGTGCACCAGCCCTGATCACTTGTCCCATGCATCCAACCTGGGCTGGTGATCTGTTTTACCCTTGATAGTATACTTGTTTCAATGCTATTCTCTCAGAATATCCCACCCTCGCCTTCTCCCACAGAGTCTAAAAGTCTGTTCTGTACATCTGTGTCTCTTTTTCTGTTTTGCATATAGGGTTATCGTTACCATCTTTTTTAATCCCATATATATGCGTTAGTATACTGTATTGGTCTTTATCTTTCTGGCTTACTTCACTCTGTATAATGGACTCCAGTTTCATCCATCTCATTAGAACTGATTCAAATGAATTCTTTTTAATGGCTGAGTAATATTCCATGGTGTATTATGTACCACAGCTTCCTTATCCATTCGTCTGCTGATGGGCATCTAGGTTGCTTCCATGTCCTGGCTATTATAAACAGTGCTGTGATGAACATTGGGGTGCACGTGTCTCTTTCAGATCTGGTTTCCTCGGTGTGCATGCCCAGGAGTGGGATTGCTGGGTCATATGGCGGTTCACATAGGAGGGTTTAATCCATGTTTTTGAGTAAAAGATGGAGAGTGGGATTGAAACAATGGGTCAGGAGTTATTGGGTGAATACAGAGCAGAAAGATACTTTAGGCAAAAGAAAGAATTTGAGCAACAATATGGAGAGAATAGTATTCAGTTTGTGGTTTAGAGATGGATGCTAGTGGGGAGAGCAGAGATGCAACATGGTAGTGAAAGTCACTCGGTGGCATCCAGCTGTTTGCAACCAAAGGGACTGTATCCCTCCAGGCCCCTCTGTCCACGGAATTCTGCAGGCATGAATACTGGAGTGGGAATATAAGGCAATATTGGAGATGCCCTTCTCTAGGGGATCTTCCTGACCTAGGGATCAAACCTGGATTTCCTGCATTTCAGGCATATTTTTTTCTGATAAGGGCTCAATAAATATTTTTTGAGTGAATAAAGAAAGAAATGAATGACAGACAACCTTGAATGGCAGGCTAAGGACATGAAATTTAATTATAGACAATGAGAAGTCACAATAATAATATTAGGTAACATATATTATCTTCAGTAGTTTTGAGAACGGGAGGTGAGATGCTCAGAGCATCACTTTGGGGAAAACAGGGCACAATATACAGCGTCACAGCATAGATTCTGGGTTGGATGGGAGAGATTAAAGTCCAACTTCTATGGGCTTCCCTGGTGGTTCAGCAGTAAAGAATTCACCTGCAATGCAAGAGACATGGGTAGACGCAGGTGCAATCCCTGGGTCGGGAAGATCCACTGGAGGAGGAAATGGCAACCTACTCCAGTGTTCTTGTATGGAAAACCCCATGGACAGAGAATCCTGGTGGGCTACAGTCCTTGGAGTCACAAACAGCTGGACCTGACTGAACACAGTATACATCGCAGTGTATCTATCCAGATGGAGCCTAAATTACGTTGGTGGAAACTGAGGTTTTAGAAACATCAATGCCAGAAAAATAAGTAAATGTAGAGCCAGGAAGGAAAAAGCAGGGTAGTGAGAAATACGACAAGGGGGAAGGCTTCCATAAAGAATTCCTGCTTCAGGTGAGAATCGAAGGCTTACAATTGTTCACCAGGCAACGGGACTAAAGCAAACATTTCAGGCAGACGGACAGTTCTGCAAATGCCCTGAGCTAAGAAGGGCTTTGGTGAACGAGAGAAACGAAGTGAAACAAAATCACAACAATAGCAAAGCTGGTGTGACTGCAGCATTGTGAGTCAAACTGAGAAGTGTGGGCGATGACTAGCCCGGAAACAAGCAGGGGCCAGTTTTGAGCCAGGCCTGGAAGACTTTGTTAAGGATTTCGATTCTCAACCAAAGAGAAAAGAAGGGCCATTACAGGGTCTGAGCAAAGGAGTGATGACCTTCTATTTATGACTTTTAATATATCACATTCAAGGGCATGAGTCCAGATGATTTGCCCCTGGACCAAAGACCTGCTTATCTTTCTTTCCTCAGGACAGTCAGATGACGTGCTTTTGTTTGCTAGTAGTATAACTCTGGAATAAAAGTGTATTAACCATATAGACTATGGTTAGGTGATTCCAGAGTTCACTCAGCAGTTCAGCAATAGCTTCTCTATGATTCTTTGTCCCTTTCCTCATTGTCCCAAGATGGCTGCCACAGCTCCAAATATCACGTCCTCATCCGGACAATATACAAAACAGAGAGAGAGGAGAATGCTATCTGCTCACATCTCTTCCTCTTTTATGAACAAAAGGTATATTTTCCAGAAACCCCTCTGCAAATTTCCTCTTTACAGAGACTTGGTCACTGGGCACACCATCATGTCAAAGAGGATGGTAAGGCAGTGATCAGGGAAGGAAGGAGGGAAAGATAAGGATTACTCAATGTTGCATTTCACCTCTTTCCCTCATTGCACAATGGGGTGATTACCTGCTTTTGGAGAGCTTTGCTGTGGGGGGAAGTTAGGAGGCAGATATACTAGTCTATCTGCATACTTAGCCAATTCGTTGACCTTAAATAAGGCATTGGGGGAAAATAGTATAAAATAATGTAATAAACACTCATCCAGCTTAAGGAAAACATCCCAGCAACCATGAGACCCCTGATTACTCTCTATAAGATCATCTCCATCCCTTCAACCACAATTTTGTATTTGAAGCTTATAATCCCTTGAATTTGAGCATGTCTATTACATGTTGGTGTTGGACTGGGAGGCCTGGAGTGCTGCAATTCATGGGGTCGCAAAGAGTCGGACATGACTGAGTGACTGAACTGAACTGAACAGAACTGATTACATGTTTATATCATGAAAAGATGGCCCTTCCTGGTGGCTCAGCTGGTAAAGAATTTGCCTGCAATGCAGGAGAGCCCCGTTCGATTCCTGGGTTGGGAAGATACCCTGGAGAAGGAATAGGCTACCCACTCCAGTATTCGTGGGCTTCCCTGTGGCTCAGACAGTAAAGAATCCATCTACAATGCGGGAGACCTGGGTTCGATCCCTGTTTTGGGAAGATCCCCTGGAGGAGGTCATGGCAAACCACTCCAGTATGCTTGCCTGAAGAATCCCCATGGATAGAGGAGCCTGGATACATACAGTCCATGGGGTCACAAAGAGTCAGACATGACTGAGCGACAAAGCACAGCTCAGCACATCCTTAAAAGACACATGGTAATCTGATATATTTTTGAAACTTGATATGAAATGATCCTATACTAATACACTCCTTGGCAGTTGTTTTCATCCACACTGCTTCCTCCTCCACATTAAAGATGGTATGAATATCTCTAGTTCATTCAGTTTAACTGACATATACTCTTTCAGTGTTTAAGTGTTCCAGTTTTTTTTTTTTCATCCTTTCTCTCACTGATAGACATTTGGGATTGATACCATTTATTTCCACTATGACAAACAGATATATTTGTATATGTTTTTGTATATTCCTCTGTGTACATGGGTATGTTTCTCCAGGGCATATAATGGGAAAATCACTGTGTGTAAAAAGCACAAAACTAAGAGTCAAACCTGCTAAGACTGGATTATACCACTAGTTCTGCCACCTTCTCACCTCGTAGGTGAGTCCTCTAACTGCTCTCCCCCAGGTTCTGCATCTGTGAACCACAGGATAATGATGTCGTTATGAGAATCATTATGAAAATTAAATTAAATCATGTCCGTTGAATACCTAACAGAGACCAGGCACAGAGTGGGTTTGTGTCCCAACACTACCTCCCCTGGCTATTCCCTCAGTACTTCTCCTGCTTCATTGTTTATAAAATGGTGATTGTATTCCTCATCTTGCTAACTATCCAGAATCAAAGGGGATATGGTAGTAGGTAAAAATCTTATGAAATTGCTGACTTTATAAGACAGAAAAGTTCTAATAGCAGCAATCTGTCACACAATTCAGCATGATATATCGAAGTGCTGTGAAAGTGAAACCCAGCGTTCATTCATTCACTCATCAGATATTTTTTGAGATCTGCTTCACACCAGGCATCGGGTCATCAAAGGCTGAACAAACAGACCCAGACATGGACTTCCAAACCTGCAGAGAAATGTAGTGTACAATTATCACACAAATATGCATAAATTATGCTAAGTGTGAGGAAAGAAAATAATAGCTAGTAATAATAATAACAATGGCAAATAATCTTGGCACTACCCATCCTGCCCGGGAGCTAATGTAATTCTCACAACAACCCTGTGAGATTGATATTATTATTGGGTATACTATCAATTATTATATTGATATAACAATAATACAATATTATTATTGTAGCAGGAAGCAAATGGCCTAATCCAAGGAGCAACCGAGCTGAGTGTGATGAAGGGGATATTGACCGAGGTGTAGGTAGGGCTGAAAGATACCCCAGGGCGGGGAGGCTGCCAGGGGCTGGCAACATCAGGGAGCTGTGACCTCCTTGGTGCTAAGGGAGTATGGGGGGGCGTGCACTTTCTAGAACTTACTGCCCATCAAGAGCCTGGAGAGGGAACAGAGCCACCACTTCGCAGGCCAGGAGCTGGCTGAGTAGGGTGGCCAGACAGAGAACCTGCAGTACCCATCGTTATCCTTATTGACAAATGACGGTGAGCCACAGGGAAAGGAAAAAACATTTTGAGATCAAGGAGAGTCACAAGCAACCTTTTGCTGCCATGTGTGATCCAAGAGGGAATCTCAGAGGAGCTGACCCACCCAGTGAGCAGGGACCAGCAGGAGAAAGACAGCCGAGAGGATGTGCACAGGTAAAGATCCTAAGTGAGGGAGGTTCCAGTTGTGCTGGGCAAATGGAAAGACGGTCAGCTCAGAGTGACTGCAGGGCTGGAGCCGGGTGGACAGAGGCACCTCACGGAGTATTTCTATTACTGCAAGCGGACTGGCTCCCGAGGAACATGGCTGAAAGGCCCCTCACCACTTCCCTCTCTAATCTGGATTCACGAAGGCCCGCTGTGGACACCAGGCTAGTTTCTCCTCACCGGGTCACGCCGCTGGTGCGTGGTCACCTAAGAGTGGCCACTCCTCGGCGGGAGGTTCTTGGCAGGATGCCCGGGCCAGACCGGCTGAGCTTGGCCGGAGCCCGCAGGACCCTGCCAGGGGGCAGTCAATCTGCTCAGCGATGAGAGCTGCCTAATGGCGCGGAACGTGTTTAAAATGCAACCCAGGTGCCGGACCCTATTCTACATGCAGTACCTTTAGAGAGGCTCCATCCTCGGCCGAACAGGACTGCCGTATCCACAAGGGCACCACTTAGAGTGAGATTGGACTGAAATTGACTTTGGAGGAGGGTGACCTCCCGAGTGAGGAGCAGAGGGAAGGGAAGCAGGGAGCATCTCTGCTCTGGGCACCGCCAGGCAGTCACTAGGGGACTCAGTTACCGCCGGTTCCTCACTCTTGCCGGTGCCTGCAATGGACAAGGCACCCTTCAGAGGGGAAAACAAAGTCTTTCAGCTGTTAGCTTGTTGGACTCCAGGTGTGGGCCTTGTCTAATTTACATATTTGTTTTAATAATTTGTATGCATGTATGCATCCACCCATCCACTCATCTATGTACGTGTGTATCTATCTATCACAGATAACCACAGGGCTCACATTTTTTTTTATCACGTATTCCATTCAAGGAATGGTTGTAATCACTTTATTTCTTCCTCATAAAACCCCTGTGAGCTAGGTACTGTAATAATTTCCATTTCATGATAGTAGTATGGAGGCACAGAGTATTGATGTAGCTTGCCTAGAGGCATTAAACAGCTAATAAATTAGAAAGTGGAGATTTGAACCCAAGAAGTATGACTTCAGAGGAAGGCTAAAGGATCTGTAAGTGACCACATGCATATCCTCCACCTTAGATTTATAATTGTTGCCTCATTGAAATTTCTGCTCTCTCCTTCCTCTTCATCTCTCTCTCTCCATACAATACAATGCTGTATGTAATTGTATCTCAATAAAGCTAGGGAATAAACAGACTTAGATGAGAATATATTACTCACAGAAGATGCATGCTGAGATATTAGGGTTGAAGTTTCATGCTATATAGAATTTATTTGCAAACAGTTCAGAAAAATATACAGAAGACATAAAGATGGCCAACAATCACAAGAAAAGATGGCCAGCACCACTAATTATCAAAACTACAATGAGGTATCACCTCACTCTGGTCTGAATTTTATTATTTTTATTAGATATTAATAAATATCTAATTTATTATTAAAAAGTCTCCAAGTAGTAAATACTGGAGAGGGTGTGGAGAAAAGGGAACCCTCCTACACTGTTGGTGGGCATGTAATTTGGTGCAACAACTATCGAAAACGTATGGAGTTTCCTTAACAAACTAAAAATAGAACTACCATATGATCCAACAATCCTACTCCTGGGCATATATCCAGAAAAGATGACAACTCTAATTCAAAAAGCTACAGGCACCCCAATTTCACAGCAGCACTATTTACAATAGCCAAAATATGGAAGCAATGTAAATATCCAATAGACGAAATGATAAAGATGTGATGTGTATCTATCTATCTATATGTGTATATATATATATATGTATATATATATATACTATGGTGTGTATATATATATAATACATATGTACATGTATACATATATTTAGATATACATATATATATATACATATATATATATATATATATACACACACATATGAAAAGTGGAAGTGTTAGTCACTCAGTTGCATCTGACTCTTTGTGACCCCACAGACAGTCCCAGGCAAGGATACTGGAGTGGTTTGCCATTTCCTACTCCAAGGGGTCTTCCAGACCTAGGGATCAAATCAGCATCTCCTGGATTGGCTGGTGGATTCTTTACTGTCTAAGCCACTTATATTACAGTTTTATTCAGCTACAAAAAAAGAATGGCTCATGAAAAGAATTAAATAATGCCTTTTGTAGCAATATGGATGGACCTAGAGATTATCATGCTAAGTCAGACAAAAACAAATAAATGAAATCACTCATGTGGAATCTAAAAGAAAAAAAAAGATACAAATGAACTTGTTTACAAAACAGACATAAACTCACAGACAGCAAAAGCTAACTAATGGTTACCAGAGGGGAAAAAGGGAGAGGGATAAATTAGGAATTAAATTTGGGGTTAACAGATACACACTACTATATGTAAAATAGATAAACAAAAGGGACCTACTGCATAACACAAGGAGCTATATTTAATATCTGATAATAACCTATAATGGAAAAGAATCTGAGAAAGAATTTTTATGTGAATCACTTTGCTCTACACCTGAAATCAGTCAATTAAACTTCAATGAAAGACAAGCATGTGTGTCAGTGTGTGTGTGATGAAAACGTTTGATCTACTCTCTGAGCGACTTTCAAATATACAGTGTAGTATTGTGAACTATGGTTACCACGCTGTGTACTGCATCGTCAGAACTTATTCATTACACAACTGAAAGAGTGTACCTTTTGACCTCATTCCCCACAACCCCACCCCCGCTTCTGGCAACCTGTTCTTTGTTTCTACGAGTTCAGTTACTTTAGATTCCACATATGAGTGAAACCATCTGGTGTTTGTCTGTCTTTGCCTGACTTATTTCACTTACTGTAATGCCCTCAAGGTCCATCCTTGCCACAAACAACAAGATTTCTTTCTTTTTTATGACTGAATAATATTCCTTTGTGTATATGTACCCCTCTTTCTTTATCTATTCATCCATCTGCAGACACACATCCATATCTCGACTGTTGTGAATAATACTTCAATGAACATGGGATAGTGATTTCATTTCCTATGTATATTTACCCAGAAATGGAATTACTAGATCATACTGTAGTTGTTAATTTTTTTGAGGAATATTCGTACTGTCTTCCATAGCGGCTTACCAATTTTTATTGTCACCAACTGTGTAAAGGATTCTCTTTTCTCTCCATCCTCAGTAGCACTTATTTCTTTTCTTTTTGATGATGACCATCCTAACTTGTGTGCAATGATATCTCACTGTGGTTTTAATTTGCAATTCCCTGATGATTAGTGATATTGAATGTCTTCTCCTGTATCTGTTGGCCATTTGAATATCTCTTTTTTTTTTTTGAAAAATGTCTATTCAGGTCCTTCCTCCATTTTTAGTTGCATTATTTGGATTTTTTTTTCTTTTTACTGTTGAGTTACATGAGTTTGTGTTCTCAAACCTTGCCAACTACAGGTGAACACACTGTCTTGTGATTTATTTCAGTTAGTAATCAGTTAAATCCTCAGGGAAGCGAGGACTTTAAGTGGTTGTGGCCAATAAAAGAGACTCAGAAAATCTGAGCAAGAGAAAGTCCTTTGCAAGAGGCAAGAAGGAAGTAAAACCCAATTTCATTGAAGGTGAACTATCTTCAGCTGAGTGGTTCTACACTTTTCACCCTGATTATTGAAACTTGCAATGCATGAAGGTAAATTTCAATACCACCTTCCCTGTCTCTGCCTAAAAAATTCAGCTCACTCTTCCAGCTCGCCATCAAGATGTCCACAAACAACAGATAATTCCCTGCCTTAGTTGATTCATCTAGAAATTTCTCTGCCACTGCTGCAAGGCCACTCAGATATGATCCTATTTCCTTCCCTCGGCATCTTTTACATTTTCTCTAGCCATGAGTGGAATATTTTTCAAGTCCTGTCTGCTATTTGTTTTTTGTTTTTTTTTTCCCTGCCCCAAGCCCATCTTCTTGTTCCTGATAGGTGGCAGGAAAGCTGGTCTTTCTGACAGCTGGATAGGCTTAAATAGATCACAGCCCATAATGGGACCCTGCAATAAATAGCTATATTGCTCTGAGCGATGGCCTTTCTCAGAATGAGTTATAAAGCTGGCTGACGTAGTAGCATGGCACATTTGTACACCATAACTCCTGTTCGGTATGTTGTATTCCACGGGGAGCATCTTGAGACAAAATACGATATTTTGCAAAATCCTGCATGAACTATTTATTTGCGCAGGGTTTTAACAAAAGCTCCTTCTCGAGCCTTGCATGGAGCAGGGGTTTGAAGATGATAATGCAATAGCAATATTTACTGAGTTCTTAACAGTATGCCAGACACTGTGCTAACTATTTTGCATGCCTATATCTCATTTAATCCTTGCAACGGGTCTCTGAAATATAGATACTGCTATCATTTTAGTTTCACAAATGAGAAAATTGAGGGTTGGAAAGGGGAAGTCATCTGCCCCACCCCCAGAGTTTCTAATTCAGTACGTCTGAGATAGAGAATTTGCATTTCCAGCAAGTCTCCAGGTGATGCTGCTGGTCTGGACCATACTTGGAGAACCACTGAGAGTTTTTTTGATGTTGCTTTTCATTTTTAATGTTTTTATTACCTATAGTTGATTTACAATGTCATGTTCATTATCACTGAACTTTTGATCAGCTGTTCTCCTGCCTTTTCATCTCTTCACCTAGGTTGACCCGCACCACAACTCAGACAATAAGTTGCCTTCTCCCCATTTAAGATCTGAGATCCAGAAGAGGGAAGTGGCTTACTCAAGAAGGACCAAGTGTGGCTGACTTCACATTCACCCGTCCCTACACTAAAGTGCAGCTACCTTCTGAAGTAAGAAGTCCCTTGGACCTAGATGCATGGAGGGTTTCTGAAATAAATTTTGTTGGAAGATTCTTGACATGGATTTTGAAATCTGTAGTCAGGTGGAGAATCTTGGTTAGGATTTGCCCATTGCTATCCTGGGATCAGGAGGTTGTGTAGAGCATGAATAAAGCAGAGACATAGTGCTTCTTAATCCAGCCTGGATATTTTCCCAAGTGGAGCTGGGGAGGAAGGTCGCAGACACTCGCTCCTCCTTGTGTATTTGAGGGTCCCTGACTCCGCTGCCCCTGCCTGGAAATGAGAACCCTATTCCCTCTCAGCGCTGTGAATGGCCCTCTGGTGGACTGAAAGAGTTAATGCAATTTCCGAAAGGTTTAAGCCGGGAAGCACAGAGCAGTAGAACTTGTCTGCATGAAGGGTGTCCTGAGGCAGGTGGGAAATGCCAGCAGCCAGCCCCGACACCAGAACTGCTCATGAAAGTGAGCTGGGGGAATCTAGCGTCTCAGGCATCCCGGCTTTAAAAAGCGTTCCAAGCGAATTCTAAGATCAGTTAGGCAGGGTAAGA